CTCCCCTGCATTTGGGACTGCTGGTGGGCTCCCCAGCGGGTGGAGAGACCTGCAGACACCAGCCCAGAGACAGCCACCGCCAGCTAGCGGTGAGCCTGTAGCGGATGTGGCACCAGACTCCCAAATCCCTCAGGGAACCTCCGTGTGCACAGACCCGAGCTGTGCGGCAGGCGCCATATTGCCTCTTTCTCCCCTCTGCCGACCCTACCCGTGGCTGCCCAGAGAGACAATACAGCCACCAGCCAGAGGCACCTCCAGGGAATGGGACCTTCCCTTTTGGGACCTACAGCTGACTAAGGGGAATCAGACTGTGAGCTCCCTACCCCAGCCCTCCCAGGTGCTGCTGGCACGGTGTTCCCAGGAGAACGGTGCCGACTCAGAGGCTGAGAGACACAGACACAGCCTGGGCTCCCTGTGTGTGAATTGAGACCGGAACTCCTCTCCCTGATGGGGATACAGTTTGAACTCTGGGACCCAGAGGTCGGACCTGAAGACCAGATCCCGTGCACCCAGGTATAGCATTGCCTGGGGCACAAAGGGATATTTGTGAACAGCCTGCTGAGGTGTGTGTGCCTTCAGGGGCAGATCAGCATCCTAGAGGGCAACCCTCCCCCCAAAGGGAGGCCATGTGCCCAGCCCGGGTGGCGTTCCTGCGCAGGGAACCTCCCCGTCGGCATCACAATCCGGGGAGGCCTGGTGGCGTGTGGTCTGGCCTGCTGGCAGAGGCCCAGGAGTACTGTGGAGTTGGGAGGGTGAAAAAGCGAGGCCCGCTCCAGACTGGGGTCTCAGACAGCCCCACCCCCACACCCAGACTTTCTGGCTGAGCAGGACCATTCCAGCCCCACCATGACAGCTTTTCCTGGAAGCAGAGAACAGAACTTTGACCCCTGCTAAGGGCATTGGTTGTGCCTGAGGGCAGGCTTACCCAACCCAGCTCCGCCCAGAACAAGAGCTGATAACAGGACACAAAAACAATAGCATGGCCTGTTCCTCCAAGCAAGCGCCACCTACTGACAGAGAGCATCCTGCACAGCCTTTTCACGGCACCCACTGACTCAATATACAGGGAGTGGTCGAATCTCACCCACAGACACTACCTAACGGCTCAGAAACTAAACAAGGCGTGTGAATACCCAAACAAAAACCTAAAGGAAAGAAACAACAACTGATCGACATGGGAAGAAATCAGCGAAGGAACTCAGGAAATATGAAGAACCAAACAGACCCCCCCCCAAAGAGAAGCACCAGCCCCCTAGAAACGGACACCAACCAAAATCAGGCAACCAATATGACAGAAGAGGAATTTTGTATGTGGATCATAAGAACACTCACTGAACTGCAACAACAACCCAATAACCGACACAAAGAAACCACAAAAACCTCCAGGACCTAAACAAAAGTTCACTAAAGAAATAGACACAATGAAGAAAAGTTTAACGAATCCTGGAAATGAAGAATCAATTCAGGGAACTACAAAATACAGTGGAAAGTCTCAAGAACAGGGTAGATCAAACACAAGAAAGAATCTCAGTGATTGAAGATAACATCCTCCAACTAAATAAAACCGTCACAGAGATAGAGCAGAGAAACAAGAGAAAAGAGCAAAGCCTACAAGAGATGTGAGATTATGTGAAGAACCCTAATGTGAGGGTCATAGGGTTACCAGAAGGGGAAGAAGACAACACTCAAGGGTTGGACAAGCTGTTTGAAGATATAATAGAGGAAAATTTCCCAGGCCTTGCTCAAAATCTCGATATACAAGTTTAAGAAGCTCAGAGGACCCCTGGGAGATTCAATGCAAACAGGAAGACGTCACGACATGCAGTCAACAGACTGACCAAAGTATCAACTAAAGAGCCCTTCTAAGAGCTGTAAGACAAAAGAAGCAAGTGACATACAAGGGAAAGCCAATTCGAATAACACCAGACTTCTCTAATGAGACTTTACAAGCAAGGAGAGACTGGGCCCATTCTCACTCTTCTGAAACAAACAATGCCCAGCCTAGAATATTATTCCCTGCAAAACTAAGCTTCGTATATGAAGGAGAAATAAAGACATTCTCAGACAAGCAAAGTCTCAGAGAATTCACCAAGACAAGACCAGCCCTACAAGAAGTACTCAAAACAGTGCTACGCACGGAACACCATAATAAATACTCACGAATATAAAAACAATCAAAACCCAAAGATTAAAGGCCAGATAATACAATGGCTCAAGAGAGAAATCAAAGCAACAACATCCAACCCAACAGAATGAACAGTAATCTACCTTACCTATCAGTTCTCTCAATAAATGTGAATGGCTTAACTCTCCACTCAAGAGACATAGGCTGGCGTGAATGGATAAGAAAATACAGGCAAGTATATGCTGTCTTCAGGAAACACATTAACCTGCAAGGATGCATGTAGACTAAAAATAAAAGGGTGGAGATCAGTATTCCAGGCAAGTGGAAGCCAAAAGAAGGCTGGCGTGGCAGTTCTAATTTCAGATGATTTAGTTTTTAAAACAACAAAAGTAGTGAAAGACAAAGAAGGTCATTATATAATGGTGAAGGGCACACTTCAACAAGAAGAGATAACAATTTTAATATATATGCACCCAACTTAGGTGCACCCAGTTTCATAAAGCAAACCTTACTGGATCTAAGCAAAAGGATTAATAGCAACTCCATAATCACCGGAGATTTCAACACCCCACTGACAGCACAAGACAGATCCTCCAAACAGAAAATTAATAAAGAAATAATGGACTTAAACAAAACCCTGGAACAACTGGTCTGACTGACATCTACAGGACACACCCAAATCCACTGAATATACATTCTTCTCATCAGCTCACGGGACATTCTCTAAGATTGACCATATCCTAGAGATTTACACAAAGTAAATCTCAAGAAATTAAAAAAAATAGAAATCATACCATGTACCTTGTCAGATTTCAGTGGAATAAAAGTAGAAATCAACCCTAACAGAAACTCACATTTCTACACAAAAACATGGAAATTAAACAACCTCCTACTAAATGATTACTTCATAAATGAAGAAATCAAGATGGAAATAAAAAAATTCTATACTCCTACACTGCTGGTGGGACTGCAAATTAGTTCAACCTCTGTGGAAAGCACCATGGCGATACCTTAAAGCAATAAAAGTGAATCTACCATTTGATCCAGCAATCCCATTGCTGGGCGTCTACCCAAAAGATCCAATGACACTCTACAAAAAAAGACACCTGCACTCAAATGTTTATAGCAGCACAATTCATAATTGCAAGGCTGTGGAAACAGCCCAATGCCATCAATCCAAGAATGGATTAATAAAATGTGGATATGTATACCATGGAGTACTATTCAGCTCTAAGAAACAATGGTGATATAGCACATCTTATATTTTCCTGGTTAGAGCTGGAACCCATACTATTAAGTGAAGTTTCCCAAGAATGGAAAAACAAGCACCACATATACTCACCAGCAAATTGGTATTAACTGAACAGCACCTAAGTGGTCACATAGGTACTTCAGTAATAGTGTATTGGGCACGGGGGAGGGAGGCGGGTATATACATATATAATGAGTGAGATGTGCACCATCTGGGGGATGGTCATGCTGGAGACTCAGACTTGTGGGGGTAGGGGGGGAAAATGGGCATTTATTGAAACCTTAAAATCTGTACCCCCATAACATGCCGAAAAAAAATGGCTTTGTCTCAGAGTGGGGGAGATAATCAAACAGAAATGGCTTTGAAATTAATTACAGAATGTATAATAAAATAATATTTGTGAATAATAAAAAAAAAAGGTCATAGGTAAATACCATTTGAAGTTTTGCTATTAATTACTCTCTCTCTTTCTGGGTCTCAATCTCTTCACTTGAAAAGGAGATCAGTAGTTTAAATGGTTTTAAAGTCAGCATAAAAGTTCCACATTTCTCAGTCACATTGATTAGAGAGTTAGAGTTGACATTTAAGATCCTTTCCAATTGTGAATTTCTTTATTCTATTTTTCTGGGTCAAATGCAGAAGATGAGCAGGCAAGATGAGGGCATCCACGAAATTCAGAGTCAGGTAAGCGCACAAACCAACCCAAATCTCTGTTATGTTGTAAACAGCATAAGAGGGCAAAAAAATCAGGTTCACAATTAATGCAAAGAAGTGGCAATGGAGAGCTATGCAAAAGCTGAAAGAGCTGCACAAATTTAATAAGTAGATTGTCAAGAGTAAGATGCTTCACCAGAAAAAGGTAATAATTTCAAGGCCAAGAAAACATCACACCTAGAATGGTCTCTTACTCTAGAGCCACTGTCCAGAGATGCTGGCTTTTAGGGGAGCAGGCAATGATAATTGAAAACAGCCAGCTGGCAGTTAGGGCTGCAAGCAGTAGAAGACAGTGCTTGGCAGGAGTGTTTTTCTGACACTTGCACTAAGTCACAGTGCATTAGGGTTACCATTAATCATCAGCAGCATTATTAATGACACCTTCTCCCCATCTCCTGAATAGAATTCTAAGAACCATTAAGTATATGGTACAAAAAATAAGAAAACGGAGTCATTTATTCACAAAATTCATATCACAAGCATTTTGAAATGTACACACAAAATGCATGTTAAAATTTTGGTTAATTTGCTTATATTTGAAATTGATTTATCTAGAAAATTATTTCTCATCATCACTGTGACTTGGAGTGTTGATGCAGCTGTGGATGATGTCATGACTCTTTCGTGAACTTAAAGTGCCCTTGAAACCTCAAGGGAAGAGAATTCAGTGAGCAAAAATACCTAGAAATCTACTAGGCCCCTTGTTTATTTAGCAAAGCTGATCATAATGAAAATTATCTTTCGTGTTTTCAGAAAAATTGAGCCATCTGCATTTAAAAATGATTTATTTTTTCTCACATGATTATAATGATTATTTGAACCTCATTTTTCAAATGACTTGAGCCTTTTATATTCTTTGAATTTTTAAAATGCTAAATAAAAACAGGGAGTTTGTAGCTATTTACTTACATTTCATTTTCTTCACATGGTAGATCCGAGAGCACCAACTGAAACACATGTTTAGAACAATAAAATCCAAACATCTCATCAGTCTAATCCTTTAATACAAGCAGTGCCTAGAGACAATGTGGTTTTATATCATTGTGTTAGCTTTTTTAATTAAAAGCTTTGTGCAGAGTTATTGTTGGTGCACAGAATTTTAATTGAAAAAAATCTCTGGGTAGATTCTTAAGCTCAGCAGTGACAGAAGATGTATATTGTGAACCAGATTTCTATTCTATGTATTTCTAGATGCATTTGACAACCTTTTTTGTTTTTCTATAAGAAGATTTTGCTTTCTCTAAAAACGTCATGGACCTTGCATTTTTTGTTCTTATATTTTAGCAAAAGGAAGTAAGTTCATTATTTGTGAGTATTATTTTCATAGGAAGAAATCAAAATTCATGTATGCACATGGAAACAAAAATCAATTTATTAGCATTAATGGATGTGATTGAAGGTGCGATTTTAACCTGCTCAAAGGCTAAGGTCCATTTAAGATACATGACATTCCTGTTGAGATTTACAGTTTTCTCTTTTACAAAAAAGAGGGAAGAGTCCCAGATCATAAGCATTCTAACACAATTATCTTAGTTCCTTGTGTTAAGCCTCATAGGTTACATCTTACATCTATAATCACAAAGAAAGAAAGTACTTCTCTCTAGATGTTTTACTTATTTGTTTGTTTGCTTTACCTCTTGAACTGAAACTGCTTCCTCGTACAATGAGAAAATCTTTAAATGTCATTTGTAAGTAGCTCTAAAAACTGGGTTGATGAGGTCAGTTGACATATTTATTTTACTGGACAAATAAAAGTAAAAGTAAGAAGGTACAAAATGTAAAATGATTGACTTGGGAATTTTGTGTGAGATGTCTTTTCCCCCTTAAATCCCAAATGCATCTTCTTCAGCACCTTGTATTTTCTCCACCAAGTTTATCTGGGCAAAGAGATTTGTGTAGTTGCAGATGGAGCTATGAATTGGCCATCAGAGAGCATGGTAATGAACAATTTATAAGCACAGAAAATGAGTTGGATTTTTTTTTTTTTTGCTAGAGTGCTACAAATAGATTTGTATCCTAATTGAGAGGAAAATGAACATTCAAATTTTGTCTATAAAGAAAGTTTATTTATGAGTAGATCAAATCATTTGGGATCCAGTTTAACAGAATTTCACTTGCAAGTCACTTCCTAGTCTTCTCTGTGTGTTGTACCCTAGCAAGAGTACAAGATATTAAATTATTACCACCTTGCTGCCAATGCATTAGCTGTCAGACTTCTGGGTTGTTATGAAGTGGCAAGTAAACTCTTATTATACTTTAGGTCTAAATCTTTCAGATACATTGCATTCAAGTAACACAGATATAGACATGCAGGTATTAGTCAGGGATGCTGAAGCAGAGGAACCAAAATAAATCCTAAAATGGTTCTGTCTGTATCAGTCAGCATTGAAAAACTGTCAAGCATCAAGTATGGTTGCAGGCAACAGTAAACATGTTATAAATTAATCCAGCCATAGGATTTTGCTCTGTGTCAACAGTATTTTTGAATTTTTTTTTTAATTACAGCATAGCAAAATTAAGCAAAGGCTAAATTTTTTATCACATTTTTCAATGACAATAAAACTAAATGAAGGAAAAATAAGGCTGCTATTATGGACACTTTGTTTTCATTATCTCTGACCAATGAATATTAGTAGTTATGAGGTGCTGGTAACACTTTCTCAAAGGAAATCTTTTAAATGTAGAAGTAGTTAAGTTGACCAAAGAACAAATCAATAGCAAATCAAACCCTGAGAGTACCTCTGAAAATCTTTTCCCAGAAAGAGATGTGGTTACCTGGAATAGTGGCATACACAAGGTTCCTGTTGTTGAGATCACTGAAGTGACACTGAAAGGTCTGGATCTTGACATACTTAAAGGACGATCTGCTCAGAGATAGTGGTTTGCTAACTGTGTTTATCTCTCTCTTTCTCAGAACTTGTTAGCTTCTTTGTAAGTCATGCTTCCCACCAGGGCATTCATTGCTGATGGCTCCTTGTGACTAGTAAAGTGCATGCTAGGGAAGGAATGTTGGGTGCATGCTCATAGGCACAAGAGTTCAAGGAATTTAAGTTTAAGGTCAGAACCTTGGTACTGTTTGTCAAGGCCCTTAAAAGTAGAGGTTATAAATGCTGACTGGCAGAGCTAGCTGGCTGCTTAAATAACTTCAAACATTCAAGTGCATGTTTCATTCCACTTCAGAGTTTTTAATAGTATCTTGTATTTGGAACGTTTATTCAGTTCATTCAGAACATTCTTCCCTTTGTTGGTTCCCTTTTGCACTTCACTGTCAGTTCCAGACTTGGGCATAAAGCTTTCCCTGTCCCACAGTGATGACTCCTTTCTTTTAAACAGGGTATAATTCAATGTTTATCTTTATGAAACAATTCCAACACCACTGACAAAAAAAACTGCAAAAAATATCTAGGGAAATTCTGAAAAAGAACAAATAAATGACACTAAACTATTGTGTATTAAAATGTCTTAAACTATGGTAATATGCAAAAATTGGTACTGATGCATATTAACAGTAAGATAAATGTAACAGAATAGAGAGTTCCGAAATAGACTCAAACAAACATAGAGATTTATTTAAACTGCTATTTTAAACTAATGAGGAAAGGATGGATATCATTCATGGAATGATGAAGAACTACATAGCTATGTGGAAAGACAGCATGATCAGTTTTTTTTCGAGAGAAGATAGACAAATGGCCAACATATGAAAATATGCTCAATATCACTAATCATCAGGAAAATACAAATGAGATACCACATTCCCCCTGTTAGAGTGGCCATTACTAAAAGGTCTAAAAACAATAGATGTTGACGCAGATGCAGAGAAAGTGAATGCTTAATACACTGTTGGTGGGAATGTAAAGTAGTACAACCTCTATGGAAAGTAGTATGGATATTCCTCAAAGAAGTAAAAGTAGACCTACCATTTGATCCAGCAATCCCACTACTGGGTATCTACCCAAAGGAACAGAAATCATTTTACAAAAAATACAACTGCATTCAAATGTTTATTGAAGCACAATTCATCACTGCAAAGTTGTAGAATCAATCTAAGGGGCCATCAGCTGAGAATTGGATAAAGAAATATGGTGTATACATACTATACAGCCATTTTATGCCTGAGGAGTACTACTCAGCCATAAAAAGGAATGAAATAATGTCTTTTGCAGCAACGTGGAAGGAACTGGAGAACATTATCTTAAGTGAAGTATTTCAGGAATGCAAAATCAAATATCACATATTCTTATTTATAAGCAGGAGCTAAATTATGGGTCATATGATCATAAAGTGGCTTAATTGAGATTGGAAACTAAGATGAGAGTTGGGTGGTGGGGCATGAGGGATAAAACTCTACCAATCGGCTACAATGTACACTATTCTGGTGATGGGTACACTAAAAGCCCTGAATTCAGAATTATACAATTCATCCATGTAACAAAAATACTTGTACCCCTTAAATCTATTGAAATAAGAAAATTATAAATAAAAAAATAAAATAAACTGCAAAAAATGTCTTTCATGAATAAAAAGAACTAAACAGTGGAATGTGGAAAGAATGTAACAAATGATTTCTAAGATGCTTAACCCTAGTTATAATTACATAAATTTACCTTAAAATTAAAATCAGATTCAAAAAATAAATAACATAGTGAGGAGAGATAGATACAGAGAAACAAATCCTCTTTATGTTTGATGGGGAAAACTGCAGTTTCTTTAGAAGACGATTAGCCAATATGTATCAATCTGAACAATAAATATGCCCTTTGACAAGAATTTTCCTTACATGATAAAAGAAAGTATTTACAGATATTCCTACACATGGCACAGATAATTATATACAATGATGTTCAAAAAGGCATTGTTGGTATTAAAAAAAATATTGAAAACAACAAATGTCCATCAAAAATGTGACCAGTTAAGTACAAAACCATTATATCTATTCAACAAAATATTAGAAAGCTATTTAAAAAGGTAAAGACAGATTGCAGATTCTACTGTGGAAAAATCTCTACGAATTAGCATTAAATAAAAGGAACAAATAATAGAATACTGTGCACATCATGTTACTTCTTTATGCAAAAAATAGTGAAGTATAGCTGTAGCATTTTCTCTATATACAAAAACTTATGCATTTATAAGTATATATGCATAGAGTGTCTCTATATTAAACTGTTAACAGTGGTTATCTCTGTAAAAGGATAAATGGAGCCTAAGGAAACTAGAGTGTGGGGGAGGGAAACTCCCTTTTCACTGTTAGTTCCTTGTATGTTTGATATGTATTATTTGATGTTTTTTAGAATGTCTATATGTCATTGAATCATTTTATAATACATTTCTAGGACCAATTTTGAAGTCAATTACCTAGAAATCAGAACAAGCAATATTGTAGTTCAACCCTGGCGTAGTTCACCAAATCCATTTCATATTATAATATATGAACCCATTTATGATCATACATATGGATTGCACTAGAAACAAACCAGCAGTCTGAGTTACCTGAACTATGGGTCAGAGTTGGCCGTTAAGGTATATGGATTACTGGAGCTGCATCTGAACAGGCTAAGCAGGCTGCGTGGTGGCCACTGTCTGTTTAGTATGCAGCCACAGTCACCGCCATGAATTTCAAAGCAGAGGAAGGGCTTGGTGCCAAGTCCAATAGGGGAAAAGTAAATCGAGCCTACAGTATTATTTGTCCCTAAGACATCCTCCATTTTGAGTGTCTCTGAAGCCTGTAATTAAACAGAATGAAAAATAGGCTTTTCACTGGTGAGCTTATTTATTAGGCGGTCAGAAGCCTGACTTCCGTCAGTGAAGTCAATGATCTTAAGAATTTCTGGGAAAGGAAGGAAAGGCTGATAACTTGAAAAGAGACAGAATAGAGACAAGGGCAGAATATTTGGTTTCAATTTAAAAACTGCAACAATGGCCAACCAGATACATGGGTTAAATTATTCTTGTCAAAAAAAAAGTATGATCTTGCAACAGGCGGCTGACCAGGATTATGGCAATTGAATGGAGATGGGGTCTACAGTCACAAGAATACTGTGAACACCACTGCTATATTTGATGCTAAAATAACAATTCATATTCATTACCATATTTCTCTTTCCTGATTGCCATTTATCCATTTATTTCTGTGACTTCTGCACACCACTTCCAAAAGCCAGCATGATGGAATCTAAGACTATTTTCTCCCATTTCTTTCTAGCATCATAACAGCTTGATGGTATGAAAAACAAAATCCGACCATGACTGCCATTTTAACTGCATATTTTTTACATATATTTTAAATATGTATTTAAACTAAAATAAGTTTTTGAGATAATTTTAAATTCACATGCAGTTTAAAAACTAATACAGAGGTCCCACATAACCTTCATCCAGTTTTTCCCAGTGGTGACATCTTACGTAACTATTGTACCATAACACAAACAGAAAATTGACACTGATACAATCCACCACTTGCACGATTTTTAAAACATTTTCATGGGTACTTATGTAGTTGTACATATTTATGGGGCATATATGATACTTTATCTTGTAAAATTTGTGATTAATTCTGTTTGTCCAACTACATACTTATGTGCATAAACTTGTGGTAGTGAATTCTCATCACAGGAAAGTGAAGCTGAAAGTGGACAACTGCTATTCATAACAATAGTCACTTAAGTCAGTAAGAGTCTAGGAACTTCTTATGTTTGAATATAAGGGTGGAAGAAAACAAAACTCTCAAAAAGCATCAAAAAGAAGAAGAAAGAGGACATGAACTCGATGGTATATGAGATTACACATCCAAGATTCACTGAGTACTTGGATGTGGATGTGGACCTTATATGCTCACCTTTGTAACATGAGAATGAACACATATATATTCACCTGTACAGTGTTGGTCATTTATCCAACTCTTCTCTTTGCTAGGAGGAATTAAATCCTGCAGAAATGGATGGAGTTTGGGGGATATGAAAACTATCCTCTGGATTCAGAGCCTAGCAAAAGTCCAAATTCCCTGAAGCTCTGAAGTCATATCAATATTTGTCCTTAAAGGTCATGGCATGCAGCTGTTCATAGGGATCAAGGACTAAAATTCTAGGGATTAAGTCAAAATAAATAAAAGGTGTGAATAGAAGTGGGCATGCATAAAGGAAGTCTAAAGAACATGTAAGGAGGCAACAGTTACTGTCTTTATGGAAATTAAAAGAGCAAGATAAGGTTCTAGGATTCAGAAGACCTTAGCTGGAGACACCACTAACCAGCAGTGTAACAATGACATAGTTATTTATTATCTCTAAATATTGTAATTTCAAAATCAATAATAAATATGTTGATGTATCTCCCTCAAATAATTTCATTTGTAAGATCAACTAGAAAATATCAACATGAAATTGGACATTGTACAGATATGAGAAACTGATTACTATAGTAAAAAATAACATAAAGTAAAATAGTAGAAGAATTCCAAAATAAGTTCAGAGACTCATGGAAACTACAAGAGCTGGGATAATGTAAGGAGGCATTCAAATGAGTCAGTGTGCTGTCTTAGTCTCCGATTTCTTCATTTGCTTCTCCCTAGTGAGAGGAAATATTGATCCCATTCCTAAACCAATAGTTTAGCTAAACCAATAGTCAATTTCAGTCTTCATTTTACTTTAAGCATTTGACAGAGTTAATCACTTCATTCTCCTTTAAATACTTTCTTCACCTGGCTTCCAGTACAATACATTTCCTGATTTGTCTAGCAGTTCACTGACCACTTCTCTCCATCTCTTCAGACTTGTCATATTAAGGGTGCCCTAAGATTCAGTCCTCAGTCCTTTCTTTTCTATATACATTCACTCTCCCATGAATCTCATTCAGTCTCATAGAATATCATCCATAAACCGAAAACTCCAAAATTCGTATTTTCAATCCAGATCTCTTCCTTGAACTCATGTAATCAACTGCCAACTCCATATCACCATTTGAATGTCTATCAGACTACTGCAGATAGATTTACCCTAAACCTAGCCTCTGATCTTTCCCATCTTCCCTCTACCCCTTTTCTCCTGTGGACAGTTTCTACATTAGTAAATAAAAACTCTTCTTTTTTTTTTTTTGGTTGTTCAGACTAAAAATCTTGTAAATAGTTTTTAGTTCTCTCTTTCAGACATCCTCTCCAATTTATTAGTAAAGCCTGTAGTCTCAACTTTCAAAATATATACAGATCCCCAATACTTTTCAGCACCTTCACCAGCAACTTTTCACTTAAATT